ACTGACCATCAAGGCTGCCAAGGAGCAATCAGATGCTATGATTTTTTCTGGGCCTTCTAATGCTTCAAGCTGAGTTTCTTTAAATAAATCCCACTCTACATCTGTGCAACCTTTCCATAACGATTCTTTTGAGACTTCTGAATCCAATGACCATTCATATTTCTCATGCTCCCCTCCTGCTGCTACCACTGCCGTTATTGTAACTTCTGCTTGTGAATCTGTTTCTGGTTCTTCCTGAATGGGAGTGTTTCCATCCATTTCAGAACCATCAATTTCAGCTTCACAAGTTTGAATGCACAAGCACTGCACATCAATGGGTGTTTGTGATACAACCCACTCAGGATGTAACACAAACATTTTGTTGAGTTTCATCATTGGCTGTAACAGGAAACCTTTCTTATGATGAAAGATCTTGCAAACCCCACCCTTGATAACAAAAATCAGACCTTTTTCTTTCATTTCACCTATGCTCAATTGGTTTTAAAACCTGGTACATAGTACACATTCTGAACCACTAGTGACATCTTCTTTACCCTCAGCTTGGTGCATCCTCTCCCTGCAACTTCCATCTTGGTTCCATTCCCAAACTTAACAGTACAAGAGAAGTTATTATCAAAGTAGGTGAACCATTCATTGTTACCACTCATGTGGTTACTACACGTCGAGTCCAAACCCCACCAACCCTCACTCTTCTTCTTATTCGTTAATTGGACTTGAGACTCTCCTTTCTCTTCATTTTTAGTGCAAGCCATTAACAAAACATTCTCCTTCATGTCTTCATAGGTGTCATTGTCATAATTTGCAGTTGTATTAGAGAAATGTCTCTGCTGATTGGTCCAGTCTGGACACTTGTTTCTATAATGTCCCATCAGATGACATCGATAGCATTCAACAGATTCTAGATTCCAGGTTCTTCTACTTCTCCCTTGAAATCCACCTTGATCATGACTTCTTCCATAAACTTCACTAGCTGATTTTAGTGCCTGCTCATCCTTGGTTGTCCTTTTTCTGAGATTTTGCTCATGGACCAGCAAAGAACTTTGGAGTTCATCAACTGATAGCATGTCTATGTCCTTAGATTCTTCTATAGAACACACTATGTAGTTGAATTTTTCAGTTAGAGTTCTCAATATCTTCTCCACAATTCGCACATCAGTTATCTGATCTCCACAACTCCTCATGGCATTGACCACCACTATTACTCGACTAAAGTAATCATTAATATTTTCCTCTTCCTTCATCGTTAGAATTTCAAAACTCCTACGAAGAGATTGTAAACGAGCTTGTCTAACTCTAGCATTACCTTGATACTTGACCTGCATTGAACACCACAGTTGCTTGGCAGTGTCCTTTTGTGCGATTGTCTTTAAGATGGTTTTATCTATGCTGTCGAACAAGTAACTCCATGGCCTTGAAATCCTTTAGCTTTAACTCCTCCATGGCCTTCAATTGAGCAACAAAAAGCTCCTCTCCAGAATTCTGTTCTTTGACACCATCACACACCACATCCCAAAAATCTTTGGAACACAACAGATTCTCCATTATAAGACTCCAGTAGTCGTAATCTCCATCAAACTTGGGAATAAAAACTGGAGCAAAATCGGCGTTCTCACTCATGGTCTCACCACACTGATCACACCCCTCACAAATCACTAAGCCTTTCGTGTTTCATTCACACCCAAATCTGCAATTTACCAGCAGAATTATCACTCAAAAGTACTCACACTTAGCTCGAAATCTTGGTTACAAATTGCTTGATTAGGCTCTGATACCACATATAGAAACCAATTAGTGTGCAAGCTAACAAAACTTTATTGAATGTAAAAAAAATGTTTAAATACATCTGACCTCCTATCAACTACTTGCTGGAAAACCCACAACTTTTCTCTACTTGCCCACTACCCTGAAGATCCGCCACTCTCTAACTAAACCCTTAACATAACTTAACTCAGCAAGCTTACACATTTGCCTTCTATAACTTATCTATGCTAACCCTTAAACGACGACGAACTTAACTAAACTACTTGAGCGCACACAGCATTTGTTTCATATTCTAACAAGGTGCAGTGTTAGCTTAACATGATCAATTAATTCAATAACGTAAATCAATTCGCCATATTATATCTTCATTGGAATGGCCTTGTTTTGATTAAGGAGCTGGGCCTAGCAATTGGACAATACGAATGATACTTAGTTCTTTGAAGGCACCGAACCGTGAAGCATTCTTGATTCAGTCTTGCTTTTGATCTATTGGTTCTCTTATTTACCGGCCTCCCTGACGTCAGAGATGCAATTCCTTTCCCCGGAACCTTTGTGTCAGAACAGAAGCGTGCAATCGATAATCCAGACCAACACTAACGAACACAAATTTAACGTGGTTCACTAACACAATGTGTGCTAGCTAATCCACGGGCAGAGGAGAACAAATTTCACTAATTTGAGGAGAGTACAGGTTACAAACCAAATTCCAAACGGACAAACCAAATAAACTAACCCGACTGACCTACTACAAATTAGGGAGATGAAGAGTATTTATAGAACTCTTCTCCTAATCCCAAACAGAAAACCAAACACCTTTTCCAAACCTACAAGGAAAAGGCCAAAACAAAGCCCAAACACAAACCCAAACAAAATAGGCCCAAAACACAAAACAAACCCAAATCAAATTCAAGTCATATTCTAACAATCTCCACCTTGACTTGAATTCTCTCTCAAACACCAGATGTACCAGACACAACCAAAGTTGCCAGATGTATTCAAACGCAACCAAAGTTGCCAGATGTACCAGATGTGATCGAAATCATCAAACTCAAACGCGATGCAAATCGTCAAACTCAGATGCAATCAGAATTGCCAGACGTACCAAACTCCTCCAAATCAGCTGTACCAGAACCTCCCCTGCCTCCAAATGCCCTAAGGGCGGTCAACAACTCAAACCATTCGGCAAATGCAATCCATATTGAGACTTGCCATTCAGAACCAACTTGTTGCACTTATCACCAACAGAACATGTCAAGACAGAACCTTGTAGATTATACAAGGCACCCCGCTTGACACCTTTCAAAATCACCTTAGAACCCTTGTAGACAGACAACACTCCACCTTCACCTTTGAAACTGAAACCCTTGCTGTCGAGTAGACTCAAAGATATCAGATTCTTAGTCATCTCTGGAATATGCCTAACATTGTTCAAGGTGCGAACAGAACCATCATGTGTCCTCATCCTGACGGAGCCTCTTCCAACAATCTTACAGATAACACCATTGGTCATAGATACATGTTCTCCATCTATCTGCTCATAAGTTGAAAAACACTCCCTACTTGGACACATATGATAATCAGCTGCAGTATCCAAATACCACACATCCTGATGATGTACCTGTTCATTAACTGCTAAGGCTAAACCATCTTCAGAATCATAGTTAGTTTCTTCCGCCACAGCAGCAGATGATTCCTTCTTCTCCTGATATTTCTTCAGTTTAGGACAATCAAATTTCCAATGTCCTTTCTTCTTGCAGTAATGACAGATATCATCATTTAAACCAGCATAATTCGAATTTGTATTCGCCTTCCTATTACCAGATTGTTGTCTCCTACCACCGATAGCAGCCAACCCAGATGCCTGATTTTCCGAACCTGAACCAGACGCCTTATGTCGAACCTCCCTAGTGTGTAGAGCAGACCTGACATCTTCCAAAGACAAACTATCTTTCCCAGCACTAAAAGAATCCACAAAATTCTCATATGACTGTGGCAAAGATACTAATAAAATTAAGGGAGCATCCTCATCATCTATTTTAACATCAATATTCCGCAGATCCAATAAGATGGTATTGAGTTGATCTAGATGATTCCTAAGAGGTGTACCTTCCTCCATATGCAAACTGAACAAACGTTGCTTCATATGCAACTTGTTGGTTAAAGACTTTGTCATGTATAGACTTTCAAGCTTCAACCACAAGCCCGCAGCAGTCTTCTCAGTAGCAACCTCAGTGATGATGTCATCAGACAAACAAAGCAAGATTGTAGAATGAGCTTCTCCTCCAAAGTAATCCACTCTTCCTCATCTATGCTTTTCTTCTTCGATTTTTCAGACAACGGAGCCCACAAACCCTGTTGTTTCAACAGTGCTTGCATCTTGATCTGCCACAAACTGAAACTGTATCTTCCGGTAAACTTCTCAATCTTCATACTGATAGCAGACATTCTTACTAAAAAAAAAAACTCCAACCAAACTTCTCACCAAAAAAGCGAGACCAAAACACAACTACCCAAAGTCAACTTCAAAGCGATTCCTCCACCGAACCAAGCTGAAGAATTGAAAGCTACCTCCACAAAGCAAAACTTCAGTCCAGCGCCAAATTCCCAAAACCGCAACCAGGCTCTGATACCACTTGTCAGAATAGAAGCGTGCAATCGATAATCCAGACCAACACGAACGAACACGAATTTAACGTGGTTCACTAACACAATGTGTGCTAGCTAATCCACGGGCAGAGGAGAACAAATTTTACTAATTTGAGGAGAGTACAGGTTACAAACCAAATTCCAAACGGACAAACCAAACAAACTAACCCGACTGACCTTACTACAGATTAGGGAGATGAAGAGTATTTATAGAACCCTTCTTCTAATCCCAAACAGAAAACCAAACACATTTTCCAAACCTACAAGGAAAAGGCCAAAACAAAGCCCAAACACAAACTCAAACAAAATAAGTCCAAAACACAAAACAAACCCAAATCAAATTCAAGTCATATTCTAACACTTTGGCAAAGCCAACAACTAACAGACTGTTAACTTGAAACCTCTGTACATCATCATATGGTTTACAGAACCGCTGCCTGTTTATTTTTCTCACAAACGTGTGCATAGACATATATAATACACAGAAATGTGAGTTCTTCAATTTCTAATAAGTCCTTCAATATGTTGATCTGAAAATCCAAGAACAAACTTTCATTTAAAAAGTAACACGTGTTCGGACCCGAAAAAGTCTCTCAAGAACGGATTACCGCCACCATGGAAGTAGCCTCACTAGCACCAGCAATACTGGAATTGGTTGACTTGAGAGGGAAGAAAAAAGGGTAAAGCTCGTATCTAACATAGCAGCCATCATAAAGAGCTCTACACCCTTTCTTATTGTTACAAAAATTAGGGAAGTTACCCACAGCAATTGCCAAGCACTGAGCACAGTCAATCGCGGCCAAGTCTCTAGTACACTGAACCAGAGCATAAATGGTCAGGAAAGGCGACAGCTTCGTCTCACCTTTCCCAATCCCTTTACTCCGCGGCTTCACAGCTTGAGATTTGATCTCATCCACCAATCCCCCAAGCTTGCCATTGAAGGCTTCCGGATCCGTGACGTTCTCGACGTTGTAGAAAAACAGAGCATAGGAGTTGTCGAGTTTGCCGACGAAATTGTCCTTGCTGTACCTTAAGAAGCAGTAGTCGTACCAAATCCTGGCGTCGGGTCGGCCAGGGCAACGGGCGGTGATCTGATCTGCAGCGTCAGTGATGCAGCTGGAACATTCCTTGGGGGTGACGTCTCCCCTGCATTGTGCGAGGCCGTGGAGTTGGTTGGTTCCGGTCCCGGCGGAAGTGGCGTAGTAGCCGGCGGTGGGAGTTTTGTTGATGAGTTGGGAGAGGAGTTTGGCGAGATTAGAAGAGGATTGAGGGTTGAGTTTGGTGTTGTCTTTGTTGCAGAACTCTGCCATAGGGTCTGCTGCGGCGAGGAAGTTGGGGAGCAGAAGAAACAGGGGGAGGAGGGTAATGGCAGAGAGCCGTGAATTCATGACTGAAGATTTTGGTGTATGGTTTGGACGTGGTTCTCCTTTAGCTTTATGGATGGATAGTTGGCATTTTTGCCAAGGAATTTGTCTGGATTATAAGAGCGGGGCAGAGAGGTGGTGGTGGGATTGCCTTTTGAAGGTGGGGGTGGATAGCAGCACATTTTGACTTTATAGATTGGCCACTTTTTCAAATGGAACCACTCAATTGAAGAAGGATTCAAAGTTCAAAGTCAAGAGTCATGTCCACAATAAACGGTGATGCGGCCCGGTCCAATGCTGTGAGATTGCGGAGGTAAGACTCATGGTTATTTAACTCGGGTTCGGGCCCGGTCCAATACTATATCAATCTGACTGAAACTTAGGCTAATCTATTGTTTATGAATTATGGCATCCTAAATGGAATGAAATATCAAACTTGGTAACGAGCTTTAAGAATGGCTCTCAAGAATAAACACAAGATAGGGTTTACAGATGGTACACTTCGTACGCATGATCGAAATCATCCCGATTATCTTAAATCAAACGGGATGTTTCTAGGGTAATTAGAATAAAATGTCACAAACTTATTCACTTTGTAAGAAGTGGTCACAAACCTTTCGTTTTGTACGTTTTAGTAACATATGTTTGAGAGAATAACGAAATGGTCATTCCGTCCATCACCATCCAAAAAAACCGTTAGTTTGGTCCAGTCATCACGCCACGTTACATAAAATATTAATAAAAAATTAGTGACCAACCTAATTGAACCGGACAATCCTGATTCTATACTCACCCCACCTTAAAACCCTAATTGAAGGGAGTGACCGAGAGTATAATCCGTCTCCGGCATCGTCGTTGGTCGGGAATGATAGCGATGGTTGCGGGGGAAGGGAGGAGGCAGATGAGAAGGAGGTGGAGAGCTCGTTTAGAGGAAGGGCGTTGGGTGGGCTGGAACAAACCCTCCCTTTGCATTTCGATTGTAGGAAGCTTTTACCGTTCAAAACTTGTCTTTGTTTTGCTTGGAAACTCGTCTTTGCATTCCAATCGGGGGAGGGTTCTTTTTCAAATTCACCCTCCTCTTCAGGGTCTCCTAATTTCCGCCGTAATAGCCTCCACTACCACCCTAAACATCTTCCACCACTGGAGGACAATCCTCGTTCTCTCCGTGGAATTTGACTCATTATCACTTAATACAGTAGATTAAGGACACATTGGTTCACGTCGACGAGGCGAGCATGGGATGGATTGGCGGTTGGGGCTTCGGTTCTGATACGAGCATGTATTGCCTCTTAATCAAGTTAGAAATACTTGCCAACGATGCCAACTCAAAACAACATTCAAAAATGGGTTTTTGCCTAAGGCATGGTACCGTTGTTGGTAGCCTACTTTGTAAGACTCTTCCTCTCAAGTGGATCGTTGAAAATGGAAGTAAAAGGCCTCATCTTGAACTCCAAGTGTTGCTGGACACGCTGGTGTGCTTGGCAGCTCGAAGGGAAGCCTGGAAGCACAATTTCAAGTCTCGACAAGATGGTAGTTCAATGCTGGAAAATGGCAGGAATTGCCTAAGTGTCAAACTGTGAGCAGTATAGCTACTTTGAAGGCTCACTCCGGGAAGATGGTGCCGAATCAAGAGAAAAGTTTCAGGCCACATGAAACTACGTATTTTCTAGTACAGAAACAAGGAGTTGGGCGATCGATTTCATACCTAGAGGACCTCGAACGAGGACGATGGAGATGGTATCAAGGCTGCTTGTTTTCTTGCGTTTTAAGTTTCCATGTTGTGCTAGTATTAGGACTGTTTTGGGTTTCCTTGTTTCTCTCGACTTTCCTTGTTGTTTTAGGTTCATTGTTAGTTCTATTTAAACTCAAAAGGGGACTTGTAATCGTGGACATGAATGAATTGAAGATTAACCCTAAAAACTAAGTTTCAACAGCTTGTTTTTGGTTGAGAGCTTGGCTGAGACAACCAAGCTCGATTGAAGCCCTTGTATCGATCAAAAACCACATTGATCATGGGCGGGCATCGACGTATAGTTGCTGAGCCTTCCTCAAGGTGAAGGATTGCACACAACTTCCACCCAACCTTGTTCTTCCTCATCGGCAAAACACTATTTCCAGTTCTGACGAGTTTAATTCAGGGAGTGAACTTGAATTTCAAGTCTTGCGTTCGAATATCAAACCAAAACCACTGAGGGGTTATCAAGTGGCATCAGAGCTCGGTTCTACACAGTGGACAGAACGGGAAAGTGATTTGCCGAAACAACACCGTGGACGAGGTCGAAGGGCTCTGTCTCGGTAGACCCTGTTCTTCGACGGGAGAAAACAGAGACCGAAGCAACAGAAGGACGGAGTGCGCCGTCGTCTACCGAGGATCAATTTGAACCTTCCTTGATGGCGGGACAACCAAACATGGTAGAGCTTTTGGCTCAGATGAGTGCTCTGTTCCAGGCACAGTTCGATAAGATCGAGCAGAGACATGATGCTCTGTCACCGGTGATACCATAGACGACCCAGAATGCAGAAACTCATCATGATAGGGAAGCGGCTCGAGAGCGAAAGAATCGCGAGCTTCAGGCTCGAGTTGAGGATCTAGAGCAACGGATTGTGGTACACGATCCGGAACAGAGGCGACGAAATCGCGAGTCGCGGGAATTCCAGGCAGAGCCGACGATTCCTCAGGGGATCAAAATTTCAATTCCGGTTTTCCAGGGCACTATTAACGCCGTCACTTACCTTGATTGGGAGAGAAAGATAATTCTCTTCTTCGGATGTGGTAGTTCAGCGAATCTCAAAAGGTGGTGATGGCTACCTTCGAATTTGCAGACTACGCTGCCCAATGGTGGGAGCAACTTCAGAGTCGTCGAACGCGAAATTTGCAGGCTCCGGTAGAGACATGGGATGAGCTCCGAGGCTTGATGAGGGAGCGTTTCGTTCCGGCCTATTATCTACAAGAACTTCATGACTCTTTGCAAGGTCTTCGTCAAGGTGCGAGGGGCGTCGAGGAGTATTTCAGAGAGCTGGATCTGCTCTTACTCCGGGCCGACGTTTGTGAGGATAGGGAGGCTACGATCGCGCGGTTTTTACATGGCTTGAACCGCGAGATTCGACATGAGGTTGAGTTACGATCATTTGTTGACTTGGAGGAGGCCGTGCATCTCGCCGTTAAGGTCGAGAAGCAGCAGAAATCGGCGACAGGACGGCGGTTCTCGTCGGTGTCAAAGGCAGGGGCAGAGTTGCAAACTGACCCCAATTCGCCTTCCCCACGCACTGACGCCGTGAAATTAGTGCCCGGGCACACCAATCCGACGACCATCGATCGTGAAGGAACGATCCAATTCTTTAAGTGCCACGGACGAGGTCACAAAGCTAATCAGTTCCCTAATCCGAAGGCTTTGGTTCTCCGAGACGGAGAATACGTCACTAATGAAGAAGAGCAGAGTTCTGGCGACGAATCTATCGATGAGGAGATTGAAGTCGAGAAGGCTCCGACTGGGAAGCTTCTAGGAGTTAGCAGGAGAGCCCTCACTGCTGAGGCTTCCCCGAATTCGGACCAACGCGAAAATCTGTTTCACTCGCGGTGTTTGGTTGCCGGAAAATTGTTGTCTTAATTGTCGACGGTGGCAGTTGTGGGAATGTCATTAGCCAGGACGCAGTGTCCAAGCTTGGGTTGAAGACAACACGACACCCTGAACCATACAATCTCCACTGGTTGAATGATTACGGGGCAATCCGAGTGACCAAGAGAGCCAAGGTGAGTTTTGAAATCGGAGGGTTTCAAGATGAACTTGATTTTGACGTAGCTCCGATGCAAACTGCTCATGTGTTGCTAGGGAGGCCCTGGCAATTTGATCGTGGTGTCTATCATTATGGAGGCACGAACCAGTACAAGGTTCGGCATAAGGGGAAGAAGTACTTGATGGAACCATTATCCCCGAACGAAGTCCTAGAAGACCGACGACAATTGGAAGCTAATCGGCGGCGTGTGAAAGACGATTCTGAGGAGGCATGCTCAGAGGAAGCTGAGACAAACAACGGCGTGATCCGGCGGTTAATGCTAACGGTTTACAAGAGGCTGAAAACGCGTCGACCTCGCCGGTGTTGTTCAAGTTCGCTGGAGCAGAGCAAGAGAGAGGGTCAAACGGGTGGAGCTCTTGGGGGCGATCCGATCCAATCCAATGACACTTTCGTGTTTCCTACAGCCCCGAGAATCTATCCCATTGACAAAATCGAGCTGAACCCTTCTGTTATGCAGGATCCCAATCGAGCTTCTTCTCCTCTGCAACTACTTTCGAACGAGGGACAAGTGACTGAATGGGTTGAGCAGTTCCAGGTCGATGCAAACCAAACGAACGTTGTGGAATCATCGGGAAAGAGCCCAGGAAGCTGTGGGAGTGATCAATTGCAGCTGGGGATGCTCGACTTGGAAACGCCCAAATCCAAATCGCAAATTCTGGGTTCCCAAGATTTGAACGCGGCTAGTGGCGGGAAGAAGGGAAATATCGAATCGACACCAAAGGCGATTAGTCGAGCCCAAACGCTTACGCAAAACTTCAATTCGAAGCTCGGCGAATCCATTGGTACCCAGGAATTGAGCTGTCGATCCCTGGAGAAGAAAGCCCCAATTCATCAAGTGAAGAACATTGACCTATTTTTCCAGAACGGCTAGTTTGGCACAGTAACTTTCGATCCCATTTGGAGCCAATTTTGTGCAGATTTTGAGAAGCGAAGAGAACCAGCTTTGAGGGCAAAGCTTTTTGAAGAGGGGGAGCCTGATACGAGCATGGATTGCCTCTTAATCAAGTTAGAAATACTTGCCAACGAAGCCAACTCAAAACAACATTCAAATATGGATTTTTGGCTAAGGCATGGTACCGTTGTTGGTAGCCTACTTTGTAAGACTCTTCCTCTCAAGTGGCTCGTTGAAAATGGAAGTACAAGGCCTCATC